TATTGGATTGTCGGAGGTAGGGCCCCAGTCCGTTCCTTTATCCTCAGGTGTGTACGTTGTGCTCGCTTTCGAGGAATCCGGGCTCAACAATTAATGGGTCAACTACCGGCATCAAGGGTCAATCCAGCCAGACCTTTCTTACACTCAGGACTTGATTATGCCGGACCCATAACTATCAAAACCTGGAAAGGGCGGGCGGCTCGCACGTATAAAGGCTATCTCTCCATTTTCATTTGTTTAGCTACATCCGCAGTCCACATTGAGGTAGTTACTGAGTACACTACAGAGGCCTTTATCGCTGCTTATAAGAGGTTTACGGGTTGCAGAGGCATTTGTGCAACCCTACAAAGCGATTGCGGTACCAATTTTGTGGGTGCTGACAAAGCCTTACGCCAACGTTTTTCTTCCACTTCGAATGAACTACATGAGCTAGCCCAAATTATTGCAAATGATGGTACTAAGTGGCGATTCAATCCTCCATCCGCGCCCCATTTTGGAGGGAAATGGGAAGCAGCGGTAAAGTCAACCAAGTTCCATCTTTTACGTACACTTGGAGATTCAACGTTGACTTACGAAGAACTCACAACAGTGATCGTACAAATTGAGGCCATTCTTAATTCCCGTCCACTATGCCCGCTCTCCGAGGACGTAAGTGATTGTTCGGCTCTAACTCCCGGCCACTTCTTAATAGGTGAAGCACCTACTACTATACCGGAGCCGAACCTTTCAGATATTTCGGTTTCACGATTATCACGGTGGCAGCTTCTGGGACAGAAGGTGGACCATTTTTGGAGACGTTGGTCAACAGAATGTCTTCAGAGATATCAGGCAGTCTCCAAGTGGCATCATCCACACAACCAAATTCAGGAGGGAACCATGGTGCTGGTGACAGATGAGCGTTATTCACCTGCGAAGTGGCCTCTGGCCAGAGTCGTTGAATTACATAAGGGCCCCGATGGTCTGACCAGGGTGGTGACGCTCCGCACCGCAACTTCAACCTACCGGAGACCTGTGGTAAAACTTTGTGTTTTGCCAACTGACCCTGACCGTCATAATTCGCCATTGCCATTGGCGAAGGCGGGCGGGAAT